ATATTATAGCTAGCTCTTCATTAATACTGTTACTTCAACTTAATTTCTATGATCCTCAGATGTAAAAATTTTTATTTTTTAAAAAGGTAAAAAAAAAAAATAAAAGTTTATATTAATAAAATAAAAATTTATTTAAATTAATCATTAGTCTAATAAGAATTTTCTTTGATCTTAAAGAGAAAAGAAACCAATACAAAAGAAAAGAGAAAAAACTTTAAGCTATTTTTATCAAGAGAACATCTTAACATCTTGCTTTTTTACCTTATCCAATAATGTCATTAATTTTGATATAATATAACATGAAACATATAAAGGATATGCTATATGTCTTATTTATATTTTTTTTATATATTAATCAACTAATCCAAGATTTTAATCAATTATTAATCAGAATTTCTGATATAACAAAAAATTTAAGATTAAATTGACATAGATAAAATTTTTTAGAAAAATCAAAAAATTTTTAATATGCTTAAAAGTATTATTATAGACATATATGATTGATAAAAAAGAATTATATACTTAAGTAAATAGGTTTTATTAGCTTATTTATTTATTTTAGACTTGAGTATTTATTTATAGTAGATTCAAGATTCTTATAAAGTTTTGAAAATACATTTACTAATAGTTTACTTTCTAAAGTTACAGACTTAAGAAGAGCTAGCTATAATATTTTAAATAAATAAAGAATATTTTTTTGACAGGTTTCTTTTTTCTAGTAAAGTGTTTTTATCATAAATCAAATAAATAAAGCTTTATTTATTTTATTGTTAAAATATATAAAGTTTTTTTTAAAAAAAAAGTAAACAAGTAGAAGAGACACTAGCCTTTAGAAAATAAGGTTTTTTAAAGAATATATATAGACTTTATTATTAAAAATAAAAAATATTTTTGAGAATGTTTATTTTTTGAATTAGAAAAGGGATTAACAAAAAAAGTTATAATAAGATTATTATTTAATTTAACTTATTGATAATAATAATTATTTATTTTTGGGATATATTATTTTTTTTGTTTACTATCTAAAAGTTCTTTACACTTTTTTTATTTTTTTTACAAAAGTTTTAAAAAAATTAAAAAAAGTATATTGATGCATTGAAATAGATCTCTGGTTAATAAAAAACAAGTTTGAAAGTCTTGCTTTTTTTTTGAATTGCATAAGGAAAGATCTATGACAATTATTTATATATTTTTTTTTGAAACTCTTTTTATTTTTTAATTTTTACTAATATATAAACTTTATTAAATAAATATATTTTCTTCTTAAAAAGAAATTTTTTATTTCAAAAAATCAAACTTTGTATTAAAATTATTTATATTGTTGACTTGAAAGACCAGTAATATATTCAATACTTATTTTTTTATAATATTTAATATACTTTACTGCATTATAAAAAATCAAAAAATTTTACTCAAAAAATTTTTTATCAAAAAACCATAATCAGTTTGATTTTGTTAATTAATTATTATTTCAAACTTAATCAATTAAATACTATTAAACATCGAACAAATTTACTTATTCAGTTATTATATTTTAATTAACAAAAACAAATCTATTTTTGATAACAATAATCAAAACAAAGTCATATATCCAGTATACTTCTCAGTGATAAATATAAACAACACTATTACAATAATTACTACAATTATAATAATTACTATTTTTATAATAATCAAAACATTAATAAACAAATTAACAACAAAACAACAATATAATAATGTCTAATCAACTATTAAAAAAACATATTATCAACACTATTATATACTATAGTATGTAACTTGACCATTTTGAAAGTGCAACAGTATTTTGAAGGAGTGAAATTACCAAAGTAGCATATTTAGGCATCAATAGTATTCTAGATACCATTGGTTTTATAATTAGTTTTTTTAATATTTTTTTTTATATAATATTTTTTTTTTTTAAATTTTCATTTCTTTCAAGTCTTATTATATATAATTTTAAGTAGATATTCATAGCTACTTGACACTATTTCTAATTTGTATTGATTTTAATATTATTTTTCTTTATTGCTTAAATAATTTACTGTAGGCAAGCTAGTATTAAACTTGCTAACCATTTGATTATATGAGGAGATATTATTACTTTCTTTATGTATAAAATTTTATATTTTTATAAAATAATAAAGCAATGATGTTTACCTACTTTTAAAAAAATATATATATTTATTTTTGAAAGATGTTACTTTTTTTTTATATACGTATATATGCAATCATTAATGTAAGGATATTTATCTATAAAAAAATAAAAATAAAGTAATTATTATTTGAAATATAAGATAAATACAAAATTGTATTTTTGTTTCTTTAAAAAATTCCTAAATTAAAAATAAAAATTTTCAACATTTATTGATTTGATTAATACAGTATTTTATGAATATTACATATACTTAATATATATACTTAATAATTTAATGTAAATATTTACTTTGTCAGTAAATATAAAAAATACAATAGATCTTTTAGAAAAAATATATACAGTATAATAACTCCAATTCTTATAAAATGGGATTATGCATTAATATATACAGTACAAGAAGAATATTTATAATTTCATTCGGAAAGAAATAATTTTTAATTCCTTAATCATTATATTTACGCACGAGCAGATTTATCTTATTTGTTTTCTTTGGAAAAATGAAGTGTAGACGGTGCAAGCTCGAGAAGCTTTTAAGGAGTTTCCATATACAACAGTTACGGAACGTTGTCAACATATTTCCACTTTATGTTTACGGGTAGGTACTGCTAGAACAAATAATTCTAAAGGCGTATTTTTGTTATTTAATAAAAACTTTCAAATACATTATAAAGTGTTTGATAGATCAACTTAAAGAGAAGCCTAACAAACAACAACCAAAGTGTCCGGAATGTCCGGAATGTCCGCAAGTTTAAATACTCAAAAATGGAAAGCACTTAATTTAGCATGGGAAAAAGCACCCTTTAAAATCGAAGTGGTCAGCATTGGAAGAGTTCAATAATTAACGCCTGTTGACGTTAATTCTACTACTGGAGAATTTTATATTGTAATGTTGAATGGGCAGAAAGTGACTATGTTACTGGAAGAAAATAAAACTGTTATTGCTCTAAGAGAAAACATATTCAAGAAGCTTAATGTTAATCAAGCCAAGCAAAAGTTAATATATAATGATGAGGAGTTGCAGGTTTGATTAATTTCTTTAAAGTTTAGATTAGCTGATTCTTCAAATTTCATTGGAAATTTAAATTTTTTTCATCTGAAAAAAAAAAAAAAGATACATGCCAAAATCGCGGATCAAACTTATCGGATTATAAAATTGACGTAGGAAGCCATATTCAACTAATTGTACTTTACAATAATATTACAAGGGCAGAATCCATTAAGGGTCATACATTTGATTTATATTGGGAGTATCTAGCTAATGGATCGCAAGATTACCTTGATAGAAGTTGCTTGCTATATACAGGGGATACATCTTGGAGGAGATATGATTATGCATCTGTTTATTACCCTTCTTTCCCTCACACGAAACATTTTGGATATGATCGATCATTCCAATAAGCGAGGTCAGGCCGAATTTTCAGTTTGTTATTTTACTTATTTACAAAAAATTATCCATTTTTTGAAATCAGGACACCAACGTATTGTAGCAAAGCTTGATCAGCTTCCACCAGAAGTTACTCAACTTTACTTTGTCCGTAGTTCACGGAAGTCACCTACAATTGGTCATTTTCGTAATCCAACCTTTAGACAATATGATGAATCGCAAAAAAGCTGTTATTTCTCATGCAATCATTATGTGTTGTATATCAAAGGTTGGTCAAGGGATGTGGAAATTTATTCAAATTGGAAAGTTATCAGCAGGAAATGTTAACGATTATGACCCCATCAAAATTAGCATCGGTGAATGCGCTCTACATGGATGAAAGCATTTTTGATATAATAAACTTAAATTCCAGAAACTTATTAATTATATATGGCTTATGCAAACGTCAGGAAGATGATGTCAATTCTATTTTATTTAAAATTACAATTAGATGCAATGTTTACATAGGCATCCTTTTTAATAAGCTTAAGTACTGTAAAGAAAATGTGTAAAATGAGTTGAGAGCTGAAAAAAGTACTTTTAATTTACTCTAAACATGAATAAATTCATAACAACATGCAGTAAGTCCCATAATTTTATGCGACAACCATTAAACTAATTACAATAAATAATTGTTTATTTAAAAATATATATAGTTTATTTTATAAAAAATTGAATATCAATATGATGCCATTTTCTGTATTACTTGTTTGCATTTCTTTCTCATTAAAATATAATTCAATTTTTTAAAGGTATTATGATTCGGAATTAGATTACATTCCAATTTTATAAATGTTTTCAATGCTCCAGATTCTGTAGCATTTTTTTTTTATTATTTATTTTTTATTAGAATTTACAGATTTTTCAATTAGATTTAAATCTGAATTGTTGAATAGTTAAGCTAAAGACTTCAGACATATTTGAATTAAGATAAAATTTTGCAAGATAACTTATATATTTTGATTGTTGTTTTGTTAAATTATAACTATTGTTCAAGCAAAGTTTTGATATTATTATATATACTTTTTAAAATGTTAATATAAATTTTTGTTTATTATTGCCAATGGCATTACAAACATAGAAAACAACTAGCAAAAAACAGAGTAATGTTTGTATATCAATGCATCAACTATCAAGGTAACAGATTAGCAGCATGGCAAAAAATCATACTTTTAAATCAACAACCTAACAAGCACAAACCTAAATGGTACATAAAGTTGCAAAACAGTATAGCCATGTTACAAATAATTTAAAATAGAAGTCACAAACAAAACACATCCAAAATAAATTACAATCTTGCAATAGAAACAAAGCCCAAAGATATCAAATGGGTTGTATACCGAAACAATAACACAGATATCATTGGCAGAAAAAGAAAATATAGTAAAGAACTAATCAAAATCCAACATTACAACCGAATAAATAACAATTCACCACTTCAAGAATGTGACGGATGTGACCTCAATACATACTTTACACCAGAAGAATGTGACCTTTCTGTGGCATCCAACAGTCTTATATGTATATCAGTACACAAAAACTACACCAGCACCAGAAACAACACAGATAATAAACTACAACATAGAATCAAAATGTCATTGGGCAGCCTTCATTCAATAATTACAAACCAATTTTCAAGGTCCCAACATATCCCAATACCAGAGATATATATGGATCAAACTCTAGCCCATATACAAACAATCAATAAATATATCAACACATCCAGCAGTACACTACAACAGCTTGTTATTATCAAACCCATTCTTAACTACCACAAGCTTATTACCATATATACAGATGGCTTACTTAACAGACACAAAAATATGGAATTTGTATGGCACACACTAAACTGCCCTGACACAAAGTTCAAAGGAAAAATCACATTATTCTCCTCATCTACCAGAGCCAAACTGGCAGCCATAGCAATAGCTCTAATCACCATATCAGCAGAAAGCAATATAACAATATGCAGCGATAGCCAGGCAGCACTCGCAGCAATTAATAAAGCAATCACAGATTTGAAATATCTCAGAACACTATAAAATAGTAACATTATTAACACAATTGTATATATTATGCAATTCCAAAAGATCAAAGTCACATGGATCAAAGTAAAAGCACACAATCATGACCCTAACAATGATCAAGCAGATTGAATAGTAAAGGAAGCTTGCCAAGAGTCAAAAAACTATATAGATTTCAAACCAATCAATCACCAATCTCTCAAATGGATACTCCAATGGAACAAATAAATCCTGGACAATACTATAACTAGAACAATAAAAAATATCATCAGAATAAAATATGTCATCAACTGGAAGATGCTAAACTGAAACATAAACACCTTAATACAAAATATAGTGAACCAAATTGTATGGCTACCAACACTCAAGTTCAGACAGCCATCAAAACTTACAACAGGAAATACAAATAATAAAGACCACAACATCAGAAGTTTTCAACTAAAACTGTGGAACCTGGAACTTCCATCCAAAGACAAATTACATACATGATCTGCTACAACATATATAGACAACATATGTCCAAGATATAACAAAGTTACAGAAATAAATATACATATTATAATTTGCGATAGCAACCAAACAAGCACAATTAATACCATCAAACAAATAATTAATAAGGAAATAACAAGTAGAGCAACAGAAACAACAGAATCACAAATATATCAACAAATCACCAAACATATATAGAACTGAACAGAAGAGGTATTAAATTGTGTAATAAGAGGAGCACTGACTAATGGAATTATCACGATCATCAAAACAAACACAGTATCAACAATACAAAAGGAAACTATACAAAGTATCCTTAATAGAATTCTTCAAAGTCTGGAAAAGAATTGGATATAGCGAAATGAACAATTTATACAATGGAAAAAAGAAAACAATATTATATGGCAAGACAAATATAAATAGACAACCAAAAAGAAAAAAGCGACACAACAAAAAACAAATATACCAAGAATCAATTCAATTATAAGCCATGCAACACATAATTGGATTAACTAAGACACACTATATAATTTTAAAATTTCTTTTAATAGGAATTGATAGAGCCTTGGCAAATTAGTCAAAGATATATCAATAATTTTCTTTTGGCAATAAGCCGCACGGTAAAGGTAACCTTTAGTGAGTTTAAAGAATAGATAGAGTTTTAAATTTTGTAATTTACAAATTTGTATATACTCAAAACAATATTCAATAAACAAGGTGTAAGCTACCTGTTAAAAAAAAAAAAAATTTTTTTGTTTATTATTATTTTTCTAAAGTATACAAATTTTATTTATATAAATTTTTTTCTTATTTTAAAAATCTGACAAATAAATTATATACTTTTGTATTATTAATTATTTATATTATAAAAAAGTTATAAAAAAAAATACTCTTATTTAAAAAAAATCTTAGTTAAATGGGTTTTGATCTAATAAATCAAATAAAATATATATGCAAATTAGTTAATTAATTATAAAAATAACAAGTTTTTATAATTAATAAATTTGAATTCTAAATTTTTTTTTAATAACTTATAAAGTTTTATTATTATATTATTTATAGTATACATTATTTTATAGTAGATAATATTTATATAGTTTATTATTATTATTATTATTTATTTATTATTATTATTTACTTATAATTAAAAATATACAGTTTGTTTAAAAAGTTTTTGGATAAATATTTTTTATTTTTTTTTATTTTTATTTATTTTTTTTTAAATGGGTAGGCGTTTGCCTTGTTTAATTTTATTAAAATAATTATTTGAGATACAATTGTGTATATATGTAAAGAATTATAAGAAGTCAGCAACTTTCTTAAACTATAAAGTAAACTCATTAGGATTGCTCTACCATGCGGCTTGTTGCCTGTCTTGTAAGACAAAACATTAGAATTTCCTTAAGATGGCTAACCCACCAAGGTACTACTAATATTCTTAGAATAAAAACTAGTTGTGAAAATTTCTTCTATGTTAAATGAGTATTTAATATAATTGATCATATGCTTGTTAACTATGTGTGGGTATCTATCCTTTATCTCTTGATCTGTTGATATTTCTGCTTTGGATTTCTTGATTGGTATCCAGGATCTTTTTTGTTTCTTTGTTATTTTTTATATTTTTTCCTATTGAGAGAATTTGTCACATCTTGTAATCCATACTGTTAGTAGGTATTCTCATAATCTGTTATAATAGCTTGTGATGCATTGTTGGGTATCCTTATTATCAATATATTTTTATATAATTGTAACCGTAGTGTATGTGATTTCTCCTCTAATGTTGAGATTAAGGATTTCAGTGTTCCAAAAATTAATATGTATTTAAAGTTCTATAAAAAGCTGATGTTTTGTTTTTTTGATATTGCATAAGCTGATTTCTTCATTTAAGATTTTTATTATTTGTTGTTAAGTATTATTTTTTTGTTGTCCACAAATAAATAAATGTGTTGTTGATTCCTTTTCTTGTTTGCAAAATATATATATTTCATTTGGATATATGTTTTTGTTTCTCTGATATAGTTTGGTTAATGTAGGGAGTTCCAAGTTTCAAAGTTTGCTTTGAAATTTGCAAATGTTATGATCCTTGAAATCTGTTATATTGTTTGTAATTTTTGAGGAATGGATATTATTGATGAAGTATTTCTAATTAATTTTGGTATAGGTGTGTGGACTAATATTTATTCTGTTGTGGTTCAGTAATCTCTATTGGGTAATATATTTAGCAAGTAAACATTGCTTAATTCCTGTCTTGATAGGCACTTCCAATTGAAATGTGTGCCAGTTGGTAAGATATAGAGAATTGTTTTTTGTGTTTTGGTTGGTGACGCTGACTAGAGATGTGTTTTTAGATGTGATAGCCTCTTTTGCAAATTTATCTGTTGTTTCGTTATGTTCCAGTCCAGTATGTGCTTTGATTTTTTGGAGTGATAGTTGAATGTTATTATTTTGAATAATTTGTTGAATAGCATTTAGTAAGTGAATGTTTTTGAGTTTTTTGATGGCTTTAGTTTTATTTTGTATGATTAGTTTGATACCATCAATTGCTGCTTGGTTGTCTGTGAAGATTGTCAATTGTGCTTGAGATGGTACTATAGTCAGTACTATGAGTATTGACATCAATTCTGCTCTGATTGAAGATGGATAGTGATTAGTTTTTGCTTGGAAATCTATATTGTTTGGTGTGTTGCAAATTGTCCAGCCAATTCCCATTTGTTGATTGCTCAAGGAGCCATTTGTGTATATTTGAATTTGATGTTTGGAGTATATTTGATTGTGTATAAGGGTGAGTTGCCAGATTGTTTCAGATGTTGATATAATGAACTGCAGG